CTCCCTACCTTCCTCCCTCTCTACCACACTCTCTTTCTGTTTCCCTCCCTCTCCCGCTCCCTCTTTCACTCTCTTTTCTTCCGTTTCTTCTTTCCTTCTCTCTCTCTCTCTCTCTTCCTCCTTCCCAACCCTCTCTAACTCCCTTCCTCAATCCCTCCTTTCCTCCCTCACTCGCTCTCTCCCTCCTTCACCCCTTTCCTCACTTACTCACCCTGTTTGTACACAGTCCTTGAGCCTACGGAATTCATAGCCAATTGTTGGATCCTCCTTTCCTCCCACCGCAGCAGAAGCCTGGATGGTGAGCTGTGCGCAGGAACATTTGCTCTTATCCTAAAACACAATAAAATGCGATCAAACTCGTATCATTCTTGGATACATAGTATTCTCTTCTAAAGAATTCCTTAACCCAAGTTCAAGACGCCTTACTGCATATTAACGATACTAGTACCTTAAGTTTAGCCGAGAGTGAGGTCAGCGGATACATCTGACAATTGCTGGTGTAACCAGTGATTACTACATTTAATTAAGGGTTAAAATGTAAAAGAAAAAGGAGAAATATAAAAATACTAAGAAGGAAAATTTGCTCACGACATTTGTGTTGTGTCTTATAAATTCATAAAGAATTCTTTGCGTCGCATTTCTTTTAAGAGGCGTACTAGAATGTGGATTGGTCTAGAGTAGTTCAAGTTCTCAGGGGACGAAATTCTCGTCACTCTCTGGGCCTTACCTCGGCGTTCAGATCTCAGTGCAAGACATCCTTAAAATTGCCGTTCGTGATATTGTATGCTAATTTCACACGCGTTTAACCAACGAATTGACAGGAAGAATTGATTTCGGTCACAAAGAAAGAAAACTTACTTGGCAGTTGTCCGTACAGTCACAACAAGCCAAAAAGCCTGGGTCGAGGACCATATTCACTCCTTCCGCGAGAAGCCTCTTAGGTACATAGTCGATGGGAGGGGGATAACACGTGTCTACTTCGTTTACAACCTGACAGGTGTCAATCAGAGCATTTCATTCATGTCAATAACATTAAGAGCAATTGATGAGAGTTTGCGATTTACAATTCACAAGTGCTTACCGAGATTGGGACAGCCTCTGCGCCACATGATATGTCAGGACAAATTGGTTCCTAAAGAAAGAGAAAAAAATTAATACCACAACTCTCCCCTAACTCAACAACAGTCACCCGAAAACAAGTTAAGGCTAATGTTAGATTAGGGGAGGGGTATGTGCGTAGTTGCTCTGCTACGGACGCTGATTCCAAAAACTCAATGAACGACACTTAGGAGCTCACAAAAGAGCTCACAGGTTATGTTAAATCTTTTGATAGATGCTTCGATTGCATCACTCACATATTAAAAAAATCGTGCCTTTTTTTTCATCCAAAAATTCACAAGAACTCTCTCTCAGACTACGTAACTCACCACATCACGAAATACAGTGTCTTGACATGATATGTCTGGATCAAAAATAAACTGGTCGATCGACACGTTGGTGGCTTCTGTGATCGTTACTGAAGGTTGAATGAAGACCAAGTTAGTAGTTTGTCCACCCTCCAGACATCCCAAATCAACATAGACAAATAGTGTCCATGACAGTACAGAACAGTGCTCTACAATGAACTTACAGTAATTTGCCACTTCCGCCATTGATCTCTGAAAAGGAAAGAGCAGGTAAG